CATGCTGGATAAAATAACAAGAATATGTTTTTTTTTTTTTTCCATTATACCCAAACATTATTTCCTGGTGCTGATTGCTGCATCAGGTCACACTATCAGAGGTAACGCTGTGCACCTTGTTGGTGGTTTCAGTTGACGTGTCCAAATCTGTGACAGCCATAGGATGAAGTACTGAGAAACAGATTTACTTCTGGAATTTTTAATCAAACAAAAATTGATTGAAGAAAAAAAAGATTTCTACAGCATTGGAGAACTCAATGAGACTGACATACAGATTACACCATACTGTGGCGAGATTTAAAATCTAGTCAATGAATTTTTAAGCTACTAATGTCAACATTCTGATTTCTAAAATGAAGCCGAGAGAGCTGCAATGTTTTCATGCTGTTCATACATGTCTGCCTCGAACTCAACAGTATCGCTGAATTATCATGACATTGAAGGACATTTTGCTCATCACCTCAAACCTACAAAGCTCAACTCCCCGTAACGAATGATAATAGGTTTCAGCTTGTGTGTTTTCAAGCACAATCCAGATGTTTGGAAATAAAGTCTTTGCTTCGTTTCACAGTTTTGGAGAAGATTTCTTGAGAAACTTTACAAAGAAGATCCAAGGAGCATCAAACCAGCTGCTGTGAAGGACTCACCAGTTAATCTCATGTGATTAACTGCAAATTTTAAAAACGTGACCAAGGATTGTGGTGGATTCTGTCGAGTCGATTCATCCAGGTTCGAAAAGTCTCCTTCAAAATTCTACTTCCATGTAAGGATTTGCTACAAATTCATCCAGCTCCTAAAACCGCGTTTAATATCATTCTAAACCCTTGATAGGATATTGACCTTTCCTCAAAATCTCCTTCTTATAGGAATAAAAACTCAAGCGTGTTATTGTGTTTCATCCTTCAAAAGTGTCCAGATGTCAGCCCAGACGGTTGACAGTTCAGTCCATTTGTTCCCAACCTGCCGTCACAACAAAACCCCGAGCTCGGCGCCGGTCGCGGAGTCTTTTGTGACAGACTCCCCGCTGACCCAGCCGGGATCAGAGGTTCTCTCAGAGCTCTCATCACGCTGACTGACACTTGTTCATATCAGAGCTAGAGGGCAGCCTCACATCAGAGCACACCGTTTGTGAAATCTGTCCACAGACTCTTGGTTTTAAAGTCGAGAAACATATGTATGTGTGTATGATTTTAATCATGTTTTTGTTTCTTTTTCATTTAGATTTTGACTCAATGAAACCATCTTTACAAAAAAAAAAAAAAAAAGCTTTCAGTTCAATGGTGAACCCAGATATTCATTAGAAATGTTGTCTGCTGGAAAGACACTCATGCATTCCAGGAAGCAAAAAAAGTAATCATATGAATAATAATAATAAAACACAAAAGCAGAGTAGCATGGTGAACAGTAAAAAGATTCTGTTCACAGATGTAAACAGCTCACACTGGGCGTTTTACCACCGATAACCATTTTTGCTGCTTCCTCGTTGTTTTGAGGGCTCAGGCTGCATTACGTTGTGCAATAATCTCGCAGAAAAAAAAAAAATACAATAACGGTTGTGTTAAACTGTTTGAGCCTCAGAGAAAATGGAGGGATCATTATGGGAAGGGAAACAGAGCAGCAACAAACCTCAGAGTAATAACAGCTGAGATCAGCTCAGCAGGGAGACCAGAAATATGATAACCCTCATAAGGAAAACTGAACCTGCAGCTGTTGCATCTCCTACAACTCTTCCTCCCGCTCACACATCTAAGCACTCCAGCAGGGAGCACAAGCACATTATAAAAATATAAATAAATAAATCATTTAAAATAAAACAGAAAAAAAAAAACAGCCCTTGTTCTTGGAACCCACACTGTGCTGCACAAGCTGGTTCGGTCATCTACAACATTTATGAAGCTTTTTCACTTTTTTTTCAGTTTTTTTTTTTCTTTTTTTACTGAATTAGTCTGAAGCGCCACATGTGAATCCCTCCAATTAAAACCCCAAATAAGGAAAAACCCAAAGCGGCATCATTCATTCAAATTAAAAGAAGCTTGGTTATTAAATGAAAAAAAAAAAAAGAAAAGTTTTAACTTTACATCTTCTTTCCTCAGCATCATTTGGCAGAAACAAAAGGATAATATTGAAAAAGAACAATTCTCTTTCATCTGTTTTACAGAAAAAAAAAAGCAGCTTTAAATCAAACGCCCCAAATGTGGTTGATGTGACTGTTGATCAATGCTCAGCCAGTGCTGCTAGCTTCAGGCAATATTTTAACTACATAAAATAGCATGTGACCAAATGACATTCAGTGCTTCATGCAGCATTGGCGCGGCATTGCACCAATTTACTCAGAGTGATTCAAGTGAAGTCAAATGGTTGACTTCTTAAAGCATCACTACATTTTTTCCGGCAAAAATTTGCTTTCAAACCTGCTGAAACAATCTGAAAATTTTCTCTCTGGATAAAACTACTTGCACATTTATGATGTGTATGCTCTACAGAAGTAGAAGACGTAAAATCCAAAATAAGCCCAAACTTAACCCATTTCAGGATGAAAGGAGCAGATGGTGGAAATCAGTGTCAACAATCGACTCTTGTTTTCTGTTCCTGTCTAAAGGAATAAACAGCTGAATGACACCTTGACACCAAAATGCCACAAAACATATGCCAAAACAGGTTCCTCATCTTGATTAAATACACATTTACAGGATTTTTAAGAACAATAATGACCATCGTGTTGACATCTAAAACTGAGAGCAGAGTTAACATCAAATTTGAAGCTTTTGATTTGGCATTTAAGTCAGTGAATAAATATTTATCCAGGGAATAAAAAGGTGAAACAAAAACCAAAAAATCAAATCCAGATCAGCTGCTATGGACAACCAGAACCCACTTGCTGAAGTTAAATATAAGAACTATAACCAAAGAAATCCTGGAACAGATACCTGTAAGTCATTTAAACATTCAATTATTTACTCTTTGAATCAGGTGGTTATGCAGAGATTCATGTTTAGGTGAATCTCACTGACAGCAGTGGGAGGTTGAAGTATTACACAGGGCACTTTAGAGGGAAACTGATATAATAACATTCTTACACATTTATCAATAAATACTCCTATAGAGGTTATTTCTGCCTCGTTCAAGCCTCAGTTAAGTGGGTCAAATCCCCCGTTTTGCCTGCCGTTATTCATGCTGTTCATACATCCAAACCTAGTAAACTTCATACGTTTGCAAGGTTCCAACGTTTTTTTTTTTTTTTTTTTTAATTTCCGTCAATGAGGCGACGCTTAGCATTAAGTGCCACAGAGTTTGGGGATTGTCATTTTAGAGCACTTACGCATTTTTAGGATTTAACATTATGTGAGAAAGTTCCCCATATTTTCTATTTGTTTATTTTATCATGCTAAGGTTTCTAATTTAGCTCTGATGCATTAGCTTTAAATCACAATGGCCTGGAAGAGAGTATCTGAGAGGCTAAGAGCCCGCATCGCTCTGTATCCCTGTATTGTAATTGCCACCATCCCTTATTGATCACACTGAAGAACCCATGAAAGCTAATGTGATTTCATTAAGATGCAATCAAAGTGAGCTATCCCAAACAAACACACGGGAGAACGGGGTCCTAAAGTTTCACTGCTACAACCTCTCTCAGTCTGGAAACGGTGGAAATCATTGAGGCACTTAGAGCTTTTTTCTAATGGCTTTTCAATTATTTGCTCACAGCTAATCCCTGAGAGTTCACATAAGGTAAATTTACAACAAAGTTAAGAAGAAGAAGACGAAGAAAAAAAACAATAGTAAATCCGATTAAATGTTTCGGATATAAAAATGAATCTAAAATGACAGAATGTAAGAATAAAGAAGGACTTTTACAGAGAAATTCCCAACAAATGAAAAGCTGGCTTCCACAGCCAGAGGGAAAACACTCCGGTGTGTTTCTGCAAGCAGAGCTGCATCATCTGTCTACAGAAGCTGGTGAGTCATCAAAAAAGAGGCAGAGGCACCATGTGGCGCTATGGTCGGAGACGCAAAGTCACCGCAACATCACAGCTGAGACTGAGAAATGGAAACAGGCAATCTTCAGAAGCAAACAAAATGTGTTTCATCAAAACAAAAGGATTCCTCTGACTAAATCAGAAAAAAAAGATGAACATAACTCGGTGCAAAGCACAATAGAAAAAAAGCAAACATCTGTATGTACCCCATCCCTGCTGGCAGCTGCACAAGTATTATATCAAACACTATAGAGAAAACAGTTCAAGGGAAGAAAAAAAGCATCAGCTGGTTAGTAAACAGAGTGTCACAAATTAAAAGAAAAACTTTTTAAATATCTGATTCAGGTGGATTCAGTTATTTAGCAGATGACACAAGTCAGATGTAAAATTAAGACCACCTCGAGCTTAAGCTAGGTTCAAACTGTAGCTGGAACAGAGAGATTTTGCCCACAGTAACAATACTTCTCTAGACTTCAGAAGTGAATGTTTATGTCAGTCCTTCTGAGGATTCAGAGAACTGGAACAGAAATAGAACATTTCAAACCGACCATGTGTCAATGTGTCACCTTCACAACTTGTGATTTGTTGTAAATTCCCCTGCTCAGTTGGTCCAGAGTGAGAAAAGAAACAGAATGATTGGAAACAACTCATGCATTGTGGATTGTTCAAAAAATAAAATACAGAAACAAAATGAGAGACTTTTATGATTTCTAATACTTCCTCAATAACACAACCACCAACAGATGTAAAAGTATGTCCAATTGTTCAGATTTAAGTAGGAGGGGACAAAACAGCAAAGTGTAGGTACTAAACAGGAACAATGCATTAGCAAGTTCTTTGTATTCCTATTTCGATAAGAATACAAAGAATCCATATACACTTATTCCAAACTATGCTTTCTGGAGCAGAGCTGTTTTGTCTCATCTTTGATTTCCAATCCAGTCGTCTCCGCTAAAGCACACCCCTTGAATTTTACCCCTGAGATTCCAACAGAGCACCAAACAAAAAGCGTCGACCCCTTACCGTACTCTATGTCGTAAAACACGATGAACTTTTGCCAGCGCAGCTCTTCCACCAGCGTCAGCATGACGTTGTTGAGGCGTACGGGCGGCCGGGCTGCCAGCGTATAGCGCTGCCCTCCGGGACTCGGGTTGAATTGGCAGGCCGTCCTGGGGGAGCCGTCGCCGTTCCTCTGGATGTACAGGTGCGGGATGTGCATGGCGTCCGTCAGGGACTGCAGGGCGCTGGCCGAGGCGCAGCCCGTCGAGGTGACCAACGCCAGGATGCCCTGGTTCATCAGCTCGCAGGCTGCAAAGGGAGAGGAGAAAGAGAGAGAGAAATGTTTTTATTTTTTGTTTTGATAAAGTATATATAATTGATCAGTTTCCAGAGAATTGGAACAAACAGAGCACAATGGCTTCACTGATGCACATTGTGGAGGTTAAAAGTGAAAGTTTAACTACATAAACTATTGTAATTGATGCTTTTAGTTTGCCTGCAAGTTGCAAACCCAAATTAAGTATGATTTACTGTAGAAATAGAAACCAAGTTCCTTCTCATCCAATCACATGAGGAGTTTCAAAAAAAGGAGAACAAAATAGCCTTCGCAGATTTCAACAGAACCCTGACTTCAGGTGTCCGGTACCAGCTGCATTTCATCTTAAAAGGGCTGTGCACACTCAAAACATGGACGTTGCCATGACTTCACTGCTGCAAACAGACGGTCGAGAGAGAAAACATCAAACAGCCTTGGATTGAATCTTCACTAAAACTCAAAAAACGTGATATTTAAATTTAACCAGATACCTGACCTCTTCCTAAGAATAAAAAATAGACAGATTATTGCGAAAACAGCAGAAGCCGAGTTATAGCTCTTAGCTGGACATTTCTCATCCTCAGTTGCTTCCATCTGAATCACGGCTTTGGGTGTTAAAGCCTTATCAAACTTTCATCACCTACATTTTGCTGCCAGTTTTCCGTATTTGTAGCTTTTTGTGGTATCTAAATTGAAATGTGTACATGAAGATGGTTAACTCACGGCAGCAGACCAAATTTAAGTATGGGTACAAAAAATGAAAATCAAATCATGCCCTTCATGATAGTCAAGAGCGATAACCAATTATGAGGCATTGAAAAAAAAAAAAAAAAAAAAAAAAAAAAAAATACCAACCAAAATAAAATAAAGTTTGTTGTGGAAAATAAAAACAATTCGCTGCTGTGCATTTTGATGGAACAAGTTTATCATTCTCTGATTTTCTATAGTGATTGCTGTGGCAAGCACAATTTTAATTACATTTCTGGCAGATATTGTAAAACCAATATCATCCCAAAACGTGAATACTTTTACATAAATATTAAAAACAAAATGAAAGCACTGAAAACAAAAAAGAGAGAAAGTTCAGAAATAAGTTTTCTCCCAAATTTTAATACCAAATTGTAATGCCGATCTGTAGCTTCATAAAATGCTATTTCTCTTGCTGCTACTGGCTTTTATGTCCATCACATCCGTTTTATTAAAAAAAAAAAAAAGGAAAATAGATTGAGACAGAAGAAGAGTGGATGTGAACGTTTTTTTTTTTTTTTACTTAAGTCGAATTTAAAATTCTGCTTTCATTTAATTTACCACAAGAACTGTTAATGTCACTATTGGAAAATGAAAAAAATAATCTTAAAGAAAAGTCTTCATTCAACTCTGACACCTTTGCTCAAATCAGCAGCTCTGATGTAAGACGTACAAACCAACACAGTTCTTAAACTGACTTGCTTTTAAGAAGAAAAAAATAAGCTCTTGATAGAGGGAGACTGAGCCAGGCTCCTCTTTTCCTGCAGTAAAACGCAAACCCTCAGAGCAAGACTTTCATCCACACCATATTCACCTCTCACCTCTGTTCATTTTATGTATATATAAATCACAGTTCAAGTTAACAAAGAGCTTAAACATGTCTCTTGCTGCCCACAGACAGCTGAGGAAGCACAGAACTCCCAGCTCATCTTCCTCTAGGAGAGCTCTTGCTTTAAAGCAGGTGTGTCAAACTGTTACAAAGGCAAAAAATAAATAAATGACAGAGATAGCAACAAAAACTGCACAACACATTTGTATCTCTTCCCCAAGGCTATGTATGCATCTTTGGTTCCAACAAATTAGTTTAAAGTACCAGCAGGACGGGACACAGTTTTAAAATTCAAATTCAAACTCTCCAGATTTTATTAGGGCTTTACCTGCAAGCTTCCCTCCATTCAATTTGACAACCAAAAGGTGTGTTTGGTACCAAAATAACGCAGCAAATCACTGGAGTAACATCTTGATAAAACAGGAAAGCACAGCAGTGGCAGCATCATGGAGCTGTTCATCTTCCAGGGAACTTGGATACTGATATTTTTTTTCCAAATGCCACATGAAGGAGGAGCTACAACAACCCGAAGCTTTCAGAATGCCACGAAAAAAAAAAAGAGAACCAGACCAAAGAGTCTGGTTCTCTTTGGTCAAGAGAATTCAAAAGAAAGTCTTTGAGCTCCTCTGAAGAGGGACCTGCACAGATTCTGAGAGGTTCTATAATGTTTGAAAGTGTTCTTGTTCTTGACTTCACCAAATCATTTTTATGGGTTCTTTTTCCCCACTCAATGTCTTCGATATGTTTCAATAAATGTAAAATAAAAAAAAAGACATCTGAAATGATTCCGCTATTTTCCCCCAAAACAAAAATAAATCCTTCAAAGTTGTTTCTCAAAAATAGATTTCTTCTCTCTTATCACGGATTCAATGTCTGCCGTTGGTTTTGGTTTCACCCCAAGAAAACTACTGCCAAACAACTTTGAGTTCCCGACATCAAACTGGAGCCGCATGGAGGCTCTTTCACCTGCAGTGTTCAGACAAAAAGGTGTAGTTTAAGCCTTTTAGACACCTTTCATCTCCAGTTAGAGCCCAAGTTTCTCTGCAGGAGGAGATCTGTCCGGACTAAAAGGTCAAGAAATGCTTCAAAGGACAGCAGGAGTGTTATGACTGAACTCCCACCAGGGGAAAAGATGAAATGGAGAAAAAAAAAAAAGAAAGAAAGAAAAAGGAAGAGGCATCTGTGCTGAGGCAGAGGGGCATAATGTGAAGGCTGGTCGCCTTCAAGGAAAAAGCATAAAAACAGCAGCAGGAGAACAGCTGGCAGGTCGCAGGAATCCTGCTGCTTAATGTTTGATGAGTCAAAGTTGGCTGAACTCGGGCTGACTCCCTCAGAGCCGAGAACAAACCGAGGACACGAGATCATCAACAGTCAGTCGCCTAAGTGCACCGAATCCATCTTTATTATGTGAAAGCTTCTGTGTTAGGGAGCAGCAACGTCTGCGTGTCGGTGACTTTTTTCTTTCATTTTTTTTTTTTCTTTTTAAAGGATCATCAAGGAAAAACAAAAAAAATGCAATCAACCGAACTGATAGATTTTAAGACAACGGGACAAATGTTGCCTCTGAAACAGGATCTAATGAACCAACTCTGATCTAATTAGCAAGAAGTTAGTTAATAAAATAAAACATGTATTTTTATTTTTTGCCAGCCACTCTCTTGATCATATTCTGAGTTCAGTTCATAACTATAAATCAGATGCAACCGCTAGATGTGAAACTTTAAAAGCTGCATCAAGTCTTCAAATATGGTGTGAAGAACACGCTGCATTGCTTTGCAGCATTTTTCTGTTTGCAGCTCTATTTTCACACGTTTGTAAATGTATGCCTCAAATTTGCTTTATAAAAAGGCTACGTCTAGTCCTTTGAACACACTAAACACTATTTTATTCCCAGATTCAAATAAATAAATAAATAACTTCTCCTGGAAGCAAATTACATATTAAAAGAAATACATTTTTGCAAATAAGCCAAGAAATCCCCAAAATTTTTCACAGATGTTGTGTATTATTAATAAAGAAGATGAAAAAAAGAAACTAAGCGTACAATTTGTATGCAACTTGGTCCATTTGCAGTCCAGCAATGCTTCAATTTGCAGAGAACATCCAATTGGTGTCTGCTCTTAAAATTGAACCGATTTCATCCTGATCACTGGCCTGCAGAGGAACCAAATTATTATCAAATCAGACCGTCCCTTTTGGGCACGGAACTGTTTTGATCAGTCTGGTTAAAAATGCATTAGCCGCAACAGCGGCGATAATTAGGACCGAACCCTGAAACAAACTGGAGGCACTTTGAAATAAATCACAGTGAGTCGCCACAAGTAATATTCACCTTTTCTTCAGCTGCCTGCAGACGAGGGAATAAACATTGATAATAAATGGCCAACATGACTGTCAACTCAAGCTCCATCAAAAAGATGTGATTTTTTTTTTTAATATATATTTTTTTATTTCCACTAAAGCAGTGGTATCTAACTTTAGTTATCAAGGACTGGTTTAATGCATGTTTAGATTTTGATCCACACTCAGTTCAGATGGCTGAATTACTTTTGCAGCATGTCATTATGGAGGACTGCTAATCAAATATTCATTTGGTGTGATGAACAGGGCACGTGTCTAAAACATGAAGGACATCAGTGCTTGATGGCTGACTTTGAAAACCACTGTACCTGCATCCTGGGAAACTTTATGTCAGATCTGTGGCGCACCATCAGTCAGGCACTGATTAAAAGAAAAAGAGATTTTCGTGGTTTGGCTGTGGGCTTCGGACCAGCTGAACTGCAAAATCCCACTCAAACTCCGACTTCACCATCAAATATTCGCACATGATGGATTCGGGCTTTAAAATTAGGCCAGCAACAATATTTTAACGGGAACTGTAATTTATGTCCCTTAGCTTACAATGTACTGTGACAAGAACTGACCCCAAATCATTCATTTAAATCAATTCTATATATTTTTTTTAAATATAATTATTCTTTGACTTAAATTTTAACTTCAGGATGAATTTCAGTGGCGTTGAGAGGGTCTGAAGTTATAGAATCGTCTCAATTGCATTCATTACTGTACGACACTCTGTTTCAACAATTTAAAAAAGAACAGAAAAACAGAACGGTCTGCCTTGAAAGCCAACACAGCATTTGGCAGGCCTCTTTAAAACCCTTTATGTCCTAAATTTTGAATCTCCGTCTGGATATTTTTGCTTATTTTAATCAGACGCCGTTCTTTCAGTGTCTTGTGAGTAAATTACCGTAATAACCTGGTATTGGCTGGAAAGCGCAAGGTCTCATCTTTCAGAAACCACTGGCATTTTTCAGGTGGAGCCAAATGTGGCGGAATAACGGTCCTGCAAATTCGTCTGGATCGCCGACGCCCCGTTTAGTGCTTAGAGGTTTAAATAGCAACCTGCAGGCCACA